TCAGAATCAACGTTGAGTTTAAGCAAGCGAATGAGCCAACTGGAGTAAAGTGTCATGCAGAATTAAATTTTTCCCACTTATGACGAGTGGAGCTATCGATTTTTTGCATGTTAAGCACGCTAGTTAACATTCGTGTCAGTTAGCTGTTGACTCTCACGCTGGCCAATAGAATCTTCCTGCCTATTCGTGGCAGCTAGCTATTAGCTCTCACTCTGGCCAGTACAGAATGACCGCGAACTACATGAAAACTGCCGTAGAAGGATGAAAAATCGATTATTTCCACTATCGATGGGAGTTGGGAAATGCAACGTGGGTCTTGGCCTTCTCGCTAACTTGGAGCATGTGCATGTAAATTTTGGTGCAAATCCGTCGAAAATTGCGACCGTGCATTCATTACACACACACACACACACACACACACACACACCCCCTGCTTTTTATAGATAGAGATTAACAGTCAGCCAGAATAAAACACTGTACAGAAATATCTAATTCTATCATTGTATGGGTGCCCAGTAAAAAAGCGGCAAATTCATTATCTTCCAGGAATAATTGACCTTTAATAACCTTGAATAAATCTCTTGAATATTCATGACCTTGAATAATCATTCAACTCCCGCGTAATTACTTAACACTGATTGGTTCTTTTAAGATTGATTAGTTGTTGTTCGAACTTGTAACTCGTCATTTAAAGGTTATTTGCTGACAACTTTTGTTTTACGTTCTGACATTCTCGTATGGCGAAACAATTCACTGATTTTGAGTGTTATCGTACTTTTCAAAGAAGAACATCCGAGATGGAGATTGATGAAGTGTGCAGAAATTCTTCCTGGATTTTTCACTCACATCTGTCGTCACCAGTTTCAGCGGTTGTCTCACCTCTTTTCTCAATTTACTCCTGTTTTACGAGGAAACCTTTAGAATTATAATAGCTTGTCGCTCGTATTCAAGGGTGCCTTATCTACTAAGACGGCTAGCCAATCCATGTTGGGAACTTATGCCCAGGTACATTTATGTTTTTTTCAACACCCTCGAAGACCACCTGTGGTTTATACTGCAACTATGCTGGGCGGGCCTTAGAAACAGTTTCTTGGAGAGAGAGAGAGCATTATCTGGCGTGAACAACAGTCTGAACAAGGCTAGCACGATGAAACCCTCGGTCACGATGACTTGTGAATTCGTGTTAGTGTTGTGGATTCCGGGATGAAATCCGGTCTCAAATGAATGACAAACGCAGGAATGAAATATACCAAATGAATGTATTGACGCAATAATACAATTGGTAATACGGTTAGTAGATCCAGAAATGCGGTTAGTAGCAATAATAATATATATACAATCTGGGAAATTCAGTATCGAAGTAGGACTTCCTTCTGAGTCTACGTGCTCGTAACTGTGACTCCTACAAAGCGGTTACCTCACTCTCTCACTGTATCAGTGTATCTCCCTCTCCCGGGTATTCCCCGGCAGCATTACAAGTACACACTGGTCGAGTCCACTTGTATGAAAAAGGGGTGGACCCCATACCAGTTAGTACAACTATCGACGACTTACAAAAATAGTTAGTCTACACAATTTCTCTCATAAGTTTTTGTGGCACCCGTGGTTTCATTTCCAGGCACTTTCCCAAAGGTGCCGCACGCTAGGATTGCCACACCTGCCAGACCTTTAACATCAAGAAGTTATCTTCCTGGCAAATCGACTATAGTGTGTTTCTAACCCAGGTCGCATGGTCGGAAAGTGAACGTTCTAACCACTCGGCCACATTTCCATAAACTCTCTGCTACGTGTTCATAACCACTCGGCCACATGTCCATAACCACTCGGCCACGTTTCCATAACCAATCGGTCACGTTTCCATAGCCTCTCTGCTACGTGTTCATAACCACTCGGCTACGTGTCCATAGCCTCTCGCCCACATGTCCATAACCACTCGGCCACGCTTCCATAACCAATCGGCTACGTTTCCATAGCCTCTCTGCTACGTGTTCATAACCACTCGGCTACGTGTCCATAGCCTCTCGCCCACATGTCCATAACCACTCGGCCACGTTTCCATAACCACTCAGCCACGTTTCCATAGCCTCTTTGCTACGTGTTCATAATCACTCGGCTACGTGTCCATAACCACTCGGCCACGTTTCCATACACACTCGGCCACGTTTCCATAGCCTCTCTGCTACGTGTTCATAACCACTTGTCTACGTGTTCATAACCACTCGGCCACGTTTCCATAACCTCTCGGCTACGTTCCCATTTATCATTAATATCAAACTGGACATCCTCTATTTATTTGTCTTCATTGGCAAAACAATATCACCCTAATAAATAAGCAGATATCGCTCTTTCAAAACGTATCCGCGTTTTTCAAACGATTCATCAAATTCTTGTCAGATATTAATCTGATTTCGATCAGTTTCTGTAGGTTTTAACCAATTAATGGTTACCGCAAAATCCGGTCTTAATTATGAAAATAGATTTATAATTAATACAGGATTTTTAATAAATGTATAATTTATACGGTACTTTTTGAAACCTTTAATTATTACCGGATTTTTACCCTATAACAAATTAAATGTTGTTCGATAGCAGTTTGGAATTGTCTTCCTGATTTGGAAATGAATATTACTTTAATCTGAACGTAAGAGTTATAGGTGTCAGATCATTACAAAAGTCCATGCACGATTTTCATTGTTAATGATAAAATAACTGCTATTTGTCATTGGCTTTCGTTTTGGTGGTGATTTTTGTGTGTTCCAGATTGAAACATTGCATCGTTCAGTTGCCTGTCAGATTATGTTGAATGTTAACGTTTTCTCCAAAAAAAAAAAAAAAAAAAATGATGGAGGATAAAAAGTTGCACTTTTAGCATATATTATGCTGTTTGAATTTCGGAAAAGATTAAATGTCGAAACTGCGACAAAAAAAAAAACAAAAATGCCCAGAAAAATTATTTAGATCGTGATTCAGCTCTTCGGACGGTCACAAAACTGATTTTTTTTTGTTTGTTTTTTTTTGTTTTTTCAGATTTTGTTATGGTGATTTTGATAAAAACGATCATTCACGCTCCGGGTGTCCTTCTGACGTCGATGAAGATTCTGCTTGGCATCATGGAGAATAAACCGGTGATTTCGTCGGAAGAGATTTCTAAGAGTTTCAAAATCGATATCTTGACTGTATGTTATCATTTGAAGAGACTAGGGTTCCACCTTCTCGTACGGATCAGAACAAGCACGATCGTGTTTCTGCGGCTGTTTCATTGCTTTTACGGCACGAAAAGGAGTCATTCTCAGATAGAATTGGGTCGTTTATGATAACATTCGACACAAACGGTGCTGGAAACAAGCTTGTTGTGCAGATAATTGGCTAAAGCAGGTTTGTATAAACAATCAAGGTGTTGCTGTCTGTCTGGTGGGATTGTAGAGGAATGACTCACTTTGAGCTTTTTTTCCAGCCGGCGAAACAATAACATTGACGAAAAAGAACAAGTTTGACATTGTTTCTGTGGTGATTTCTTTGCTGTTACGCCACGAAAAGAGTCCGTTCTTTGACAAAATTGTCACTGGCGACAAAAAAATGGATTTTTTATTATAACGTTCAACGGAAACGGAACTAGAAACAAGGTTATGAGTCGGCAAAACCCGTGGCTGAAGCTTGCATCCGACGAAAGTGTTGATGGACGTATAGTAGGATTGCAGAATAGATCATTCACGATGAGCGATTTGAAGACGGCGAAACAAGAACCGCAAAGAAGTACTGCGACCAACTCACCAATCTCAATACGTCTATTCAAGACAAACGGCCGATTTTTGGCCAATCGAAAAGGTGTCATTTTTCCACTACGACAGCGCAAGACCTCAGTTTGCAAAAGAGACCTGGAAGAGTTGAAATTGGAAACCCTCCAGCATCTACCGCTTTCTCTTTACTTGGCTCCTTTGAGTTTTCATCTTTTTTCCCGGTCTCTTGGGAACAATTTAAATATTTAACTTTGTACCGTCAGTCGAAATCTACCCCACAACGTTCTTCCAAGAAGAAGACAAAACGTTTCTACGAAAATAGCATCAACGAGCTTTTGGAATTATGGCTGAAAATTGTTAAAAACAATGGAGGCTTTCAATCAGGTAAGTGCCATACATGATATCCGCTTGGACGAACATGTGTCTTCCTATTCATGACTGATTAGGTTGAAAATTTTCCTGCAGTAGGTTGCCATTTCTTTTAGTAGTAGACTGGTTACCAATAAAGGTTATATGACCTAGTATGTCCTACTATTCAATCCATATCTGAGATATGATATTCCTCCGTAGTTAGAGACTATGTACTTGACTAATAAATCTTATTTTGTTAGTATGTACAATTTTGGTTTTTAATTTTCTAATCTGGTTAGGACAGTGCCCTAATAAGAATTACATGCAGCAAAATTGTGGGAACACCAATAAACTCACCAACGTCTTATTTTATTATCGAGATTCGTTTCATGAATACTACTTGTCCTTTTTAAATACAAGCCACCGATATAATAATACGTATATATCCAATGAAAGTCTATTATCGAAAATCGGTTGGCTGGCTTTAAGAAAATAGCGATTTCTTTTCTGTATACGTTCCAATTTCTTCATGTTGGAAGACGAGAGTATTTGCATGCAATCAGTTAAACGAAATATAGAAAACCGATTAAAAAAAAATGACTTCTAAACAATGATAGGCAAGGACGAAAAGATGAAAGCGAGGTGGGTTCCGCAAATGTCAAGTCTTCACTGTCATCGCAAGGATGACAAAAGTGTGACAAGTGACCAACACCACTTCGCAACAAGTGCACAAATCAGCGAATATGCATAAACACAACCTATCATTCTACTCACAAAACAGGATGCACTTAAAGAAATTAAATAGACGTCTGCTGCTTACATTCCGATTAGCAAAAGAAGCACCTATAGACGTAAGTGATCAAATAAATTCAGGGAAAGTACATTGGCAGTAAAATCGCGGTCTTAACATAAATGCGACACAAGCACTATCTATCTATCTGTCTATCTATCTATCTATCTATCTATCTAAGTTTATTCCTATCTATCGATGTACACAACACGTGCACGTGGAGGTGTTGAAAAGTTTGCAGTTTGAAGAAGAAAGAATTCGCTCAAAAATCGCATACACACACACACACATATATATATATATATATATATATATATATATATATATATATATATATATATATATATATATATAATATAAATTGGTTTATACGGAATGGATTCAATAACCAACAATTACTATTCTTAAAAGAGTGCTCAATACAAAGTAGTGCAGATATAATTATTTATTTGAAAAAATTTTAACATAAATAATGTTATATATATATATATATATATATATATATATATATATATATATATATATATTATTTATTTAAAAAATTTATAACATAAATATGTTATAAAATCACTATAAAATAGCGATTTTTGTTTCAACAGCCACGGTGTCTTATCAAGTGATGATGTTGAATTCAACATCATCACTTGATAGGACACTGGAGTGTTGAAACAAAATCGCTATTTTTGTAGTGATTTTATAACATATTTATGTTATAATTTTTTTTTAAATAAATAATTATATATATATATATATATATATATATATATACAGAGTGTATCCAAAATACTTTTACAAATATTGGGCGGCTTCCTGACAACAAAACGGTAAAATGTCCATATTAACATATGTCCAAACGGCTATCTTTGTACATCAACACATCAAATCGTAACAAATGTTCTTACATATTTCCCGCTTGTTTCTACAAAAGCATGCACATGCCGAATCATTGATGGTGGACATTTTCAAATAATTCCAAACGATGTCGACTGCTTTCACAGGCCCACATGAAACGGTGATGAAACGTCTCTGCATTATTAATGTCTGCTGCATAAACCAATAGTTTCACTCAGAAATTAAAATAAAAAGGACTGAGGTCGGAGGAATGTGCAGGCTATGGAACCGCTCCTCTCCTACCTATCCATCTTTCCTGGTAGATGTCACCCAATGCATCGTGAACAATGTGTATAAAATGTGCTGGAGCATTATCATGCATGAACCATATGCGTCTTCGTATTAGCAGGGATACATCCACTAGCAGATCTGGACGTGTGTTCGAAAGTCACTGTAAACATCTGTAAGACGTGCTGGGAGAACATATGAACCTACCAAACAGTCACCTACAATTCCAGCCCACACATTAAACGTTAACTGATGCTGGCATCTAGCGTGTATTTTACCACGGGTATTCCAATTCGCCCCCATATTTTGGGTGTGTAAATTTGTTATTCCACGTCTTTCAAATTTCGCCTCATCCGTAAACAAGACTGAAGAGGCAAATAACGGATCAGCAGGTTGTGCAATACACCATCGGCAAAGGTTCTCCTTAGTGAGTGATCAGAGGGCGAAAGAACCTGCACGCGTTGTAAATGATATGGATACAGGAGCTGCTCTTGAATTACCCTTCATACGGTACGAGGCGATATACAACATGCTAGGGCCACTTGATGAGTCTGATAGCTGGATCGTCCCTGACAGCCTGTAGAATGTGTAAGCAGGCGGACGTGCAGATCTGGGTCTTTATCGATCTATAGTTTGTGTTGACACGGACCATGTCTCAGCAACGCGACGATTGACGACAGAAAAAGTTGGATAACTCGGCTGCCTTTGGTCTGGAAACGCAATCTGATAGCATTACGCAGACGTATGTAAAAAGTATATCTGCCTGCTCACGATATGAAAATCCTGCCATTTTTGAACGGAAACCTTCTCAGTTAACTCATGATATTGAGTCACCCCCCACTAGGGTGTCATGTGACACAAGGCCTTTTTAACGTGGACATTCCGAGCCCGTGGGCTCGGCCAAAAATATGCTCATTGAACCCGTATATACGGGTTCAGGGCCGGTTTTACCTCCCCGAAGGAGACTCCGCCCTTCGGCGTAGCCTCCTTCGGGTTCCTCCCGCCCGTAGGAAGAGAGTTCAACCGAGCAGTCGGTTCAAAAGTGAACGAGACTGACTCGCTACTACACACGTTAAACGTTGAAGACACACTAGCCACAAATTTACACGAATGATGAATGCAATTTTGTTCATATTGCAATACAAAGCAATCTACTGTAAACTTTCTTTAAACTTGATAACTCAAAAACGAAGTATTTACGGATATATGTTTAGATTAACTTTTGTCCATGTTTTGGTGTGAGGTACCCGCCCCCCATAGTTTGTGAAAAATAATTTTGATACACCCTGTTTATATATCTATGTACAGGTATTCATATACAGTATGGAAAGGATAAATTGTCATCATTTTATTTTATTAATTTCACGCATGCGCATTGTTTGTTTTTGATTTTCTCGACAGCACAGAATAGTAAGGCCAGTTAGGCACCGTCTGTGAGAAAACGAGCACCATGACGCAATTCACTCCGCCAGAAATTTTGAAACGGCATGCTGGAAGCTCCAATACAGACATTGACGCGAGGCTGCACGGCCGAAGCAGATTACGTTTCCAGGGAGCCGAGCCATCCAACCTTTGCTGCTGTTTATCGTCGCGTTCCTGAGACAGGATACGGGGCACCACAAACTATGGATCGAGGATGACTGAGATCCGTTCGTACGCCTGCACACATTGCCATGTACCTCAGACTTCCTTTAGACCTAATAACTGAAAAACGAAGGATTTGCGGGCATATGTTTATATGAATTTTTTTTCTTGCTTTGGTGTGAGGAACCTGTCCGCAAAGTGTGTAAACCTATTTTTGATACACCCTGTATATATATATATATATATATATATATATATATATATATATATGTGTGTGTGTGTGTGTGTGCGCGCGCGTGTGTGTGTTTGACAGACTAGCCACTAACAGTAATAGTCTTATTATTTGCTGTATTCAAATCGAAGAATAGTTTGGCGAAGGGCGCTTTCAAACAATCGGCTCTAAAGAAAATGTGGTGGGAAATATTGGCATTTTTTTTTTAAATTTCGAAGAGATTAATCGTAATAAACTACTTGAATCTTGAACATGTTACAGCGGAAGTGTAGTGTGAACGTGGACACAGTCGGTTGTAATCGATATGTTACAGACGGAAGCTTACTTTGTAAAATTAAACTCCGAGATAAACGCAATTCCTTCAAAGATACCCAAGGAAAGAAGCCATAATTCTATGTTCATATTAAAAGAATATTCATATTAATACGATATGTAGCTTTTAAATTACTCTCGCTGGTAATTACGAGAGAAGCGAGTTTAAATGCTTATGGGTTCTCATTCTTTTTCTTAGTATTTAGCTGCCGACATTATTATTGTGACGCTATAATTAAGACATCCAAGTAGCAGAGGAATATGTCAGTTTACTTCTTTTTTATAGCCTGCAGATGGGCCTTTTTTAAAGACACGGAAAGGGAACTACATGAACACTTACAGAAAGCAGGAAATATATCGAGAAGAAAGGACTAAACGTTAACTGCAAGAGGACAATTTTTTTCAATAAAAGAACAGCTACGAATTCGAATTACAACTTGGAGACACTAAAATCAAGCAAGTACAATATCTAGGAAGTGTTTTAAGAGAGAACCTGGAATCCGACACCGAAATACGAAGGCGCATTAGAAACAGGAAAAAATTGTTAGAAACAAAGAAAAGAGTAATGCACTGACAGGTAACATCAGTCCACCCATATGACAGTGAATGCTGGACAATCACATCACAAAGTAGAAACTTTAAGCAAAAGAAAATTTGGCTCTACAAAAGCAGTCCTGGGAAACCATGGACTGAGAATGTGAGTAACTTGTAAGATTTAGGGAAAATAAAAATAAAAAGGATCCTTCAGTCTTTTCTTAGCAGGGGCAAAGAATGGCTTGTCAAAACAAAACTGCTCTCTATTAATCTATATGAAAGAGGCCCATTTCCACAAGTGAGTGTTTCATTGCGCCTTCTTGGACTATCATTCTCGGCTGACATGAAGTTGAAAGACTATCTTGAAGCCATTGCTAGGTTTGCTGCTAAGACAGTTGGTTCACTATATCGTGCGAGACAATTTTTCTCTACATAATCTACCTCACATATCTATGTCTACCATTCGTCCATGCTTAGAATATTGCCGACAGATATGGCCCAGTGCTACGGCTATATATAGAGAGATAAAATCAAAAGAAGTATTAACAGTCCTGACCTGGTGTTACGGCTTCACTCACTTTCCCACCACCGTAAAGTTACTTCCCTGTGTCTTTTCTATAAATACTTTCATCGTAATTGTTCGAATGAGCTCTACGCTATGGTACATAGACATTATGAATTTGAGAGCAGCACTAGACTGGCAACGAGGTCTCATCATATTACGGTTGAATTGCCTCGATGTAAGCGTAAGTTCTATGCTAACAGATTCTTTTCTCGCACTTCTCGCTTGTGGAATTCTATTCTAGCTCCCCAGTTAACTTTAATCTTCAAAAATTTAAACTCAATGTCAATCGCTATTCACTCTCTTTCTCATTAACTTTCTATTGTGTTCGCTCCTTAATAAAGTTTCTGTTTTCTAATTCTTCGACACCCAGCAATTTGTTGTGCCTTAGTGGCTTTGCTGCCTTGATTGGGGTGAATTCGATCAAAAAAAGAATAAAATAGAAATTATACATCAAATAAGAAACAGTCATTTAAAATATTTAGGGTACATAATGCGGATAGATGTCTTGGGAAATTCTGACAATCACATAACATATAGCTTACATGTGGCACAAGGCCGAAAGTATGAGGCACCCAGTGAGGATCGAACTCAGTCGTAATTGTTCTAGCAAGACAAGCTTGCTAACCATTACACCGCCTCGAGGTGCCCAATCACGCAACATATAAAATGTATTAAAAATAGAGAAAATCGGTAAATAACCAGCCTAAAGATTTCTGTAAATGGTTGGCAGAGGAGAGATTACGAGTGATACCAAGATTTAAACCACACACTAAAAACCATAAAGTAGAGAATGTTGTGGAAAGCCATGGTCTCCCAGGTCCTGAAGACACACGGCACATAGATGAAGAAGTCTCCTCTGCGGTATCGAAAGGGGGAACGAACGAGTAAATGAGTGGATGGGGGGCTTTTGGTTACCAGGTTGCAACAAAATCGGGCACAGAACGTATCCAGTTGCTGGTCTGTATTAACAGTCATGTTTGAGATTGAGAAAAACAGTTCTAGTCTGCACTTGCTGGTGTCAAACTTTCCTTCTCTTAGTTCCAATATCACCGGCTTTGATTGCCAGCCATAGGTCGGCGTGTAGATATAGATGTAATGAGCTATTCGGCCTAAGTAGCAGAAGTTGTACCAAGTGTCATCTACCTACCCATTCAGAGCGAGTAGACAACACTCTGAATAAAAAGAGCTATTTTATAATACTGGGAAAAGTGTTCTTGTTATCAATTCTCTCTATATATTTTAATCATTTTACTTCAAGCAAAGTGATAATACTACTAGAACGCAGGGGTTTACAAGGAATGAAGGTGAAAGTGAATGAGAAGACTGAGAATAAGGAGGACTGAGGAAAGGACAAAATGAACAAGGTTCAATAAGACAGAAGATGGCGATTGTCGTTGTATTTACAATTTTGAAGTTTGTCGTTATTAGGGAAGCAAGAGATCGGAAGGGATTTTCACAGGTGGGGTGGGCGAGAAAAGAAACTGTTTGAGTATAAGTGGCAGTTGTATCTAGCTAGTTCAACAATAAAACGGTGACACCTAGTTGCCACTCTAGTAGCACATTTAAATTCATCTAGTCGGGTCACCAGATTAAAAAAAAAAAGCTCATCAGAGCAGTTGCCATGGAAATATTTGTAGAAAAGACAGAGAGAAGCCACGTCACATCAGTGAGAATTTAACTGAAGTCAAGATGCCTGGCCAGGACAGATTACAGATCCTTCTTTGTATTTTGTCAAGAATCTCACGATCTACAGCAGAAATAGCAGAACAGACATGGCAACTGTATTCAATGCACGGACGAATGGTAGATTTATAAATGCGCGAGTCGCGTTGTTCCAAAAATAATGTCCGATTTTAGAATAAGCATTTGAATATGTTCTAATATATTATTATTTGTGAGTGTATGAGTGAGTGTGTTCTTACGTGTGTATAATATACGTCAACTTGTGATGGGACAAGGTTGTCGTCGTGTTAAATGCAAATAGATAGACATAAAATCAATTAGACGTTCAAGGATTCCTTCGAGGCAGGGAGTCAAAAAATAGTCTTGATACTGGCAACCTCTCCTTCATTCTATCGGGAAAGATTCCCAATGTGTAAAAACAACATTACGCTCCCGGTCCCACTTCGCGGCCATATTTTCCTATTAATGTAACATCTTGCCCGTTTCTCCTTTTAATGAAAAGGGGCTTTCTATTCATTAGACGACATGACGCCGCTTTCGAACGGGTCGGATCAAACTGCATTAACAACTCACAACGAACCAGCCAGTAGTTTATCGTAATTGGTGCGTTTTACTTCTTTTCCATTCAACACGTTGCGGCCATCGGCGACTGTTCATAAAAGCCTGATGGGCCGTCATAGAAACAGAATGCTTTGCCGCGTTTAAGCCCGAAGTATCCTACGTCACACGGGACGGAATTACAACCGTGTAAAAGTCGACATTTTACAAAGTATTTTGTGTGTTATGCTAATAAGGAATCTGAGATTTACAAGCGAATCAGAAATCAAATATAAATATCACACATCTATCTATCTATCTATCTATCTATCTATCTATCTATCTATCCCTTCCAATCTGTTCATATCTATCTATCTATCTATCTAAGATCGCTTCAGTCTGGACTGGATTAGTTCTATCTATCTATCTATCTATCTATCTCTTCCACTATGTTCATATCTGTATGAGTAAGAGTGTCATCTCATTTCACTTTTATTTTATCTATAAGCATGTTTATTCTGAACATGCGAGAGAACACAAAGCGTATGATGACCGAAGTTAAGCAACGTCGAACCTGGTCAGTGCCTGAATTGGTGACCGCTTGGCGGTACCAGGTGCTACAAGCACGATTATTATTATTATTATTATGTTGTGTAATGGATAAAATTTCGGAATTGTAAATCGGAATGTCGATTTCCAATTCCAATCGGGTTTGTTATATTCACTTACGGGGAAATACCAGTGGGAAAGGCATGATTTCGCGTATACCCACAAGCTATTATTAAATAATGTGGCTTGTATCAGTAAATCAGTATTATATCCAAAACAATCTTATTATCCAACAATATTTTCTGGTTATAAATAACCTGAAAAACGTTGATTTGGTATGACCCCCCACCAAAAAAAAAAACAGATCGCTCGAACCCAAAGGCACCTGTAAAATAAAAAAAAAAAAAATAGGCTAAATCTTTGCTATTTTTCCATGCTTAGTATCTAATAGAAACAGGTGAAATTGGAAACTGTAAATAAAAGTGAGCAAAACGGATGGGTTTCCAAGCGTCCACTTTTACAGTTTTCCTACAATTCATTAGCGCCGTTCTAGTCTATGTAAGACAAACAGTATTATGCGTGTTCCATTCCTCTGGGACATCTTTTAAAACAAGATTGATATGTAGATAAAATCGTCGGTTAACTTTTCAATAAAAATGGCGTATAAAAACATTGTTAATTTTATATATATATATATATATATATATATATATATATATAAAAGAACAAGAAACAGGTAAATAGATAAAAAATAAGCGATACAAACATTCTGCATAATATTTCAAGATAGTAACACATAAGATGCTTTCAGAGGTGACAGAGAAATTTTATCGGCTGAGACAAATTTAAAACAAAGGTTTTGAGCGGTTGATGGTAAAAAAGGACGATAAATAATAATAACACAACCCCCCCCCCAAAAAAAAACCAGAAAAACAACAGGAAGTGAAATATAGGTAACGATAACAAGTCCAAAAAGAAAATACGGAAAGCTTATAAATATACACATTTTTATATTCCATATTATTATTATTATTATTCTCCTTCTCGTTCTTCTTCTCCTTGTTCTTCCGGATATAGACTATCATAGCTCTTCACAAACTTCCATTCGTCCTGAGTAGGACGATAAACTACATCCGCTAGCAAGGTCTCTGTTCGAGAGGTTTTCAGGATCATGGAACGACCTCTTAATTGCTGTTGTCCCCAGTTCCATCCGGGGTAGTAAAACCTGTTAGTGTTCCAGCTATGGGCAAATAGCTAACTCCCAAATTAGGGGTCAAAACACGATGAAAATATAAAAATAGAATTTTATAGAAAAAAAAACCCAGCAATATACTCTTTGAAAAAAATATTACCAGCAATAGTTTTGACTATCGACAAAAACCCTCTTTGCAAAAATACGTCAATGAAACCTGATCTACAAACTAATTCTTACAAAGAATTCATATTCTATTCATACGAAACTATCTTAGATAGCTTTTCAGCATTAAGCAACCCATTGATGTTGATATGCCGTAAACCAAACCAAACCAAACCAAATCAAACAACATGATATCTTGTGTGGCTCTTAGCAGTTTTTTCTCCTTTCTCTAAGAACCAGATCTATTATGCCATCCATTCACACCAGCTCGTAGGTAAGTGACTCGCTGTCTGATATTAAGAACTAGCTTAAAAACCGCCCTACGGAGGATTCTTGATTGGTCCTTCATCGCAATAGGTAGGGAACAGTAGATGTGATAGCCCACAATGAACTAAAGACCCAAATTGTATTAATATTTAAGCTTACCTTTTAAAACTTCAGGGATAATTCGTCTGCCGCCAATTAATTTAAAGGCAGTTTGATGTACGTAGGTCCTTACTTTCCGTACAAACTATTATTTTTACTTCATGGGTGGCGTTCGCCGAATTTCGCAGTTAATTTCGATTATTCCGAAATTTATTTCCAAGTTATAAAAATTATCATACAATTAGTCGCAAAAAATCACGTAAAAAAATCGCCGAAGACAATCGCAGTCATGAAAAATTGGGAATCCAAAATTTCAAGATTGCAGGTCTGAATCCAAACCCGGATTGTGTTTAATTTGCTCAGAGAGTCGATCTGATTCCAAAACGGTATCATATGTTGGGCTACCGCCTGTAGAAGTAAATTTGAAAAAATATGACACAGTGACTTAAAAACATTCGTATTTATAATATAGATGCCAGTGCTTCAATTAAGAAAACTAAATAACTTAATTTTATGTTGTGTCGGAAACCTATCACCCCTCTTGAAGATGAACTTGTCTGCGTCTGTGAACAAAGACTTTAAATAGTGGCATGTCAGTTGACATGGGGAGAGACAGATAGACCGAGAGGGTAAGACCTCCGAGTCTAGCTGAGTCGTGATACAGTCTTTGACTGTAAGCGACGTCTGTTGAACTCTCTGCGTTAGCAGAGAGGAACCCGGACGAAGCTTTGCCGAAGGGCAAGGTTTCGTCCGGGGAGGTAGACAGGCTTTGAACCCGTCTAGGCGGGTTCAAAGGCTATATCTTTGGCCGAGACTACGGGCTCGGAGATACCCACATTAAACCGGCCTTGTGCCACATTCAATCCTCGTGGGTGGATCGATAGATACTAATACTAAGACAGATAGACAGAGAAGACCTAGCTGAGCTAGTTATTGATTACTATACCTTTTTACCAACCTATTAAAACCCTTTTATTTGTTACGTGTTATTTGGTGTTTGTCTCTACTAACCCCAAATCAACATCATAACAGATTATTATAACTTTTACTTCTATGTGCCACGTCTTTTCAGGATATTGGTGATCATGTCTCTCCACAACTTCCTATCCCTTGTGTCTCTTAGCAGGTTTTCTTTTCCCACTTCTGCCATTAATACATACCAGCTCATCAGGTAAGTGGTTCGCTGTGTTTCCTTCTAGCTCTCCATATGCCCAGTGTCGGGGTGGAGGTTAAATTTTCTAAGCTTCCCTTCCTCATTAAATGCTTAATGAATTTCAGCTCTCTTTTTCTGATTCTAAGTGGATGTGTCCTTTCTGTGGCAAGACTACCTTGTTGCATACACGCTCCATCCCTGAACTGTTCAATATCTTTCTGTCGATCCACATTTCTGCAGCCTCTAGTTCTTTGGGAAGATTGTCCAACATTCCCTGGCATACAAGAGAATGAGTGTTCGTATTCAATTAAATATTTATAAAGATGATTATAAGAAATTTAAATAATACCTTTCAAATTATCAACGTACATGTTATTCATAATATCCAGCACCGAATTAGTGAACCACTTGATAACAAAAATCTTTCGATAGTGATTACCATAGTTATATGAAATGCCTTTGACAAGATGTGGCTCATGGGGTTTGCAACATAAACTGGGTGGCTATGGAATCTCTAAGAGCGTCTCCTCAGTTATTGAGTCTTTCCTGTCAGGTAGATCTATAAAGATTGTTATTAATGCGCAGTTGTCTTTAACTTATGAGACCAAGATCCACAGTTCTACGATCTTTCTATTTTATATTAACGATCTAACAAAGAGGATTCTCAGATCCTTACTAAATTTATATGCAACTGATATAACAGTTTATGCGTACACTTCCAAATATCTTGAAGTACCGAACAACTGATCTCTCCACTGATTCTATCTCTCACTGATGAATGGGGAAAATACTAGATGGTTTCATTGGGTGTGTCTAAAACTAAACTGGTAATCGCTCATCACCTTAGAGAAGACCCTGAACCTACGCCGATCCCTCAAAATGCTTCCTTTTTCACTTCCTACCTCGAATGAAAGGTGTATATTCGTACCATTGTAAAAGAAAAAGACGCTGGATATATGTTTGATTCCATGTTGATAGATTGATTTCGTTTTTACGGCTTATCAAACGATTGCAGGTTATTTAAGACCAGAAAATATTTATTTCAAATGGTAAGACTATCTTGGGGATAATAATGTTCTACTAATTAACCCATAACTTGTGAGAGAAGATTTGGATTCGTACCTTTCCCAAGGGTACGAATATAACGTAAGTGAAAGCGAATGTAACGCGTAAGTGAACATAACGAATGCAATTAGAACTTGGCTCCGCGTTTTCCAATTCCGAGCCATTATCAGTTACGTCAACCGCACATCCAACCTTACAGCATCTGACATTCCCAAGTGGTTACCCATCTAGGTACTGACCCGGCTTGATGTTGCTTAACTACGGTGATGGAGAAAATATCCAATCCCACTGCTATGTTCTATCATTACAAGGGTCACATCAGATCAAGAATGGCATATTGCTGCCGTATCTGGAATGGTACTGATCAGTCCTCACTCTACAGACTCGACATTGTTTAAACGCGCTTACCCGGCCTTGTGGGTGATGAACCAATCATTCTCCCCCATGTGACCCTTATCTTTTAAACGAAACGCTTCTGTTTTTTTGTTTCTTTTTACTAATTTATTGCTATTACTCTGGCAGATGTTCGGACGAATTAAATTCCTTAGTTCCATCAGCCCTGGCACTTAAAACTAGGTTCTAGGTAACATGTTCACAGTTCTTTCGATAAGGAGCAAGTACCACTCACTCACACAGTTTCTTTCACAGAATTTTTGTTTTGTGAAACAGACTCCCGAAGAGGATGATTCCTTGACAACTATTATCTTGGTCTTTTAATTCCAAGGTCAACTAATATCTATCTAACAAGTCCATATAATATGCATTTCTTCATTCCACCTTAAGAATAGCTCTCAACATTGAGTGAACATTTGTAATTGGATTGGATGACTTAACAGTAAAAAAAAAATAATAATTATCTCATACTTTCTACTATGTACCGTGAACCTTCACGTTTCTCTATAATATCGTATCAGTTGTAGATCTTAATAAATATTGTCTTTTTGTTATCTTTTTTCCGTCATCCGTTTAAGTAGGTAATGCCTTGTTTTTCTCTGTCCGCTTGCAATCTGTGTTGTGGGTATAAGATTTTCCGAGCCCTCTTTCTTCAGCACG